ACAGACACACACAGACACACACACACAGACACACACAGACACACACACACACAGACACACACACACACACACACACAGACACACACAGACACACACAGACACACACACACACAGACACACACAGACACACACAGACACACACAGACACACACAGACACACACAGACACACACAGACACACACAGACACACACAGACACACACAGACACACACAGACACACAGACACACAGGCACACAGGCACAGAGACACACAGACACACAGACACACAGACACACAGACACACAGACACACAGACACACACACACACAGATGCACGCCCAAGGGCCAAGCCACGGCACGGCGAATTCGGAGTCAGGGCCACTCCCCATACCCGACCAGTGCGCCTCCCCCCAAAAAAACACACACACCACACACACACAGACACACACACAGACACACACACACAAACAAAAATACACACGCACACGCACACGCACACACTCGGGCACACACTCACACACACACACACGCACACGCACACGCACACGCACACGCACACACACAGACACACAGACACACACACACACACACGCACACACGCACACGCACACGCACACGCACACGCACCCACACGCACACGCAGATGCACGTCCAAGAGCCAAGCCACGGCACGGCGGATCCGGAGTCAGGGCCGCTCCCCACACCTGACCAGGAGCGCCAGGTGGAGGTCACGGCCAAGCTGTGGGCCGGAGGCACCTTCGTGCAGCTGTTCGGCCCCGCCGTCGGCGGCTGGACCTATGGCCTGTACCCGCGCTTCCCCGCCGCCATCCCCAGCCTGCTCGGCACCGCCATCGCGGTTGTAGCCCTGGTCGCCACGGCGAGGTTCCGAGGAGGCAAGGGGTACCGCCACCCATCGAGGCTTGAGGTGCGAGGCCTTCGGGCGTCGGAACGGTTTCAAGCAGCTGCGCCTCGCCGAGAGCTTTCCGGCACCGTCTGGATCGTTTTGAGCGGCCGCCGGAGAGCCGAGTTACGACCCGAAAGCGACAGCCAGACCTCTGGTGCCGCTACCCTTTCCATCGTTTTCACCCTTTGGGGCCACCTGGGAGGCCCTCGACGCCGCGGCTGGATTCGCCTCAGAATCCTGGTCAGAACGCACCCCGGGAGAGGTCCCAGGAACAGCGGTATCGGTACCTTTTTCGGCTGCGAGCCCGGGGGGGGAGTCAGTGAAGGGCCGGGGCGGACCTTTTCGGGAGGCTCGTAAGTCCCCCGGCCTTCTGAGACATGTTCTGAGCCTTCCCCCAAGACACACAACACTTCTCAGAAGGCCGGAGCGCTTCTGAGAAGCCCCGCCGCCTTCTGAGAAGGTCTTTTCCTTCTCACATCCCTCCCTCGCTCGCCGCCGAGTTCAGGACGATCCGGGCCTCCCTGGAACGTCCTCGGCGAGGCGCAGCCGCTGCGACGCATCCCGAGGGCGGCACACCGCCCAGAAACCACGAGCACGCCCGAGGAAACCTGGAACCTCGCAGTCCCCCCCCCCCCCTCGCCTCGCCGCCGATTTTTCTTTCTTGTTGCTGCTCGCCCCCGGAGGTGGATGCCCCCGATGGCGCAGCAGACGCTGCCGCCGCAGGGCCCGCGCGCGGCCGCGCCCCCCGCCCCGCTCGCGGGGGTGATGGGCCGGCGGCCGATGCCCGACCTCACCCGAGACGCCTCGTGGCTCGGCGCCGCCGGGCTCCGGGCCTCCTCCGCCCCCTCCTCCTCCTCCTCCTCCTCCTCCTCCTCTCCTCCTCCTCCTCCTCCGCCTCCGCCTCCTCCTCCTCCTCCTCCTCCTCCTCCTCCTCCTCCTCCTCTCATCATCCTCCTCCTCCTCCTCCTCCTCCTCCTCCTCCTCCCCCTCCGCGCGATGGCGTGTCCCTCCACCAGGGGGAGGAGTCTTCAGGAGCAGCCCCAAAAGCTGGTCCGGGGGCGATTTTTTGTTCGCATTTCTGGCGTATCTGTTGGGGTATCCTGAACGTTTCGCCCGAAGCCCCCCTGTGGGGGGACAGGCCCGACCTAATCCCGGATGGTGTCCGAGTAGATCTAGTAGACTCGTGGCTCGGCGCCGCCAGACTCTAGACCTCCTGCATTTTCCGGGCATTTGTTTTGGGTGGAGGGCAAAGGGTGAAATCTGAAGTGCCGTTTCGATGAATTTTCGAGGCTTGAATCTGCCAAAGGTGAATCACGAGACGGATTGATTTTCGAGGTGCACGCGCCCATGTGGATTTCACCCTGAGCCTCGTGGCTCGGCGCCGCCAGAATCTGGACCTCCTAGATTGAGTAGCGAAAGAGGGACGTACACGTACATGAAGCCACGCTGGTTTCGAGAGTACGCATTGCGCGAATGTTCGGATCACGCGGAGGGTCTCGCGGATCGAGGGGCCGTGTTCATGTACATGGTTGGGCGCGTACGTCCTTTGTGGGCTCCCTATACATTTTGTCCGAGTGGATCTCGCAGGCCTAGAGGTTGACACCAACACCAGGATAGGCGGTGTGCCTCCACCGAGGGAAGAAGATCCCGATCTCGGCGACGGTGGTAGTATTCTGGCTTCCTTCCACGGTGACCGAAATATTACCACCAACACCGAAATCTAGGATCATCTTCCCCCTGGAGGCAAAACCCCGTGTTGGTGTCCCTTTCCAGGCCTCCAAAGATAGGGTCGGAGGATCGCGCCGCATCGCCGATGCATCGACGATGCGGCTCCATGTGGAGCCCGTGTTTGCCCACGCCCACGTCGCCGATGCATCGCCGACGTAGCCGATGCATCGCTGATACATCGGCGATGCATTGGCGATGCGGCGCGATCCTTCGACCACATCTAGTCGGACTATAGGAGGCCTCTACAGACCCTCTGAGCCTTCCAGCGAAGCGAGAATCGGACCCAGACCCCCTCGCGTGGTGAAAAAGTGGCGACGGGAGATTTCTCGCTATGTTCGGCATCCGGGGGCCCTCCCAGGGCCTCGGGACCGTCAAGAAACGGCTCGGGACGAACGACCGGTCCCAGAGAAGGGGCCCAGACCTTTGGGGGTCGACGCCGCGAACAAAAATCACGAGGGTCTGGGCCCAGCGAAGCGAGAGTCGGAGGAGGAAGAGGTGCGCATATCGCTACCCTTTGCCCGTTGTCGCCTCCTGGGGCCTCCCGGGAGGCCCTCGTCGCCACTGCTGGATTCGCCTCGAGATCCTGGTCCGAGCGCGCCCCAGGAGAGGTCCAGGGAGTAGCGGTGTCGGTACTTTTCGGTTTCCCCACAGAGCTCATGGTCAGGAGGGGAAAGATACACAGACACAAATGATCCTAGATTCCCCCGAAAATATTGGAAAATATGGGAAGTGGGGGGGGCGAAGACGCAAGTCAGACAAATATGGGGAATCCTGGGATTTGCGTGTGTGAATTTGTGTGTCCCTGGGCCCCTTCACATGGGCAACGTCAGGGAGGGGGGCATGCTCACGGGGGGAGCGCATCGACCCCCAATCGTCGGGTGATCGCCGATGGGGGCCCTATAACTGGCCCACCCCGCCCAGGAAGGAGCGGATTCGCTATATCGGGGGCCCATCGCCGATCGGTCGGCGATACGGATCGCCGATGCCGGCTCGACATTTCCCCCCCCCCCCCCCCTGATTCCGGATCCGCCCTACTTTGGGGAAATTCGTAAGTAGGGCTTGGAATTTCCGCCTTACTTTTCAAGCCCCGCTGATGCCAATTTCCGCCCTACTTTTCTGTTGCTGTTTCCGCCCTATTTCTGTGGATTTCTGCCCTATTCTATGTTGGGTGCAGAAATGTCCGCCCTGCTTTTTCGGCTTCTTATAGGTGGATTTCCGACGCAATTTCAAGTTGGACAAAAAAGCCAAAGTAGGGCGGATCTGGAGTCAGGGCCCCCCTTGAGCCGGTCCCCCCCCCTATAACCCAGATCCCCGACGTCATGATTCTCTCAAAGCGTCGACCCCGAGGTCTCGACCCATGCCCCGGGGACCGGTCTTCCACCCTGCGTCGCTCGTTGCCGGTCCCGAGGCCCGCCGAGGGCTCCCCGCGGCCCCAGGTGGTGGAGAAAGCCTCCCGTCGCCAGTTCTGTCGGGGCCCGATGGGGGTCTGGGAACGCCCTCCCCCTCAAAGGGCCCCCACCCTCGGAGGCCTCGAGGTTGACACCAACACCAATATCGGCGGTGTGCTTCCACCGAGGGAGGATGATCCCGATCTCGGTGATGGCGGTAATATTCGGGCTTCCTAGGTGACCATCTTTCTCCCGTGGAGGCAACCCCTGGTGCTGGTGTTGGTGTCCATTTCCAAGCTTCCCCCCCCCCCCGAGGCTTATGATGCTCCAACCTGCTTTAGCCTTGATCACCAGGAAGAATTTCGAGCGCCCCAAAAAGTACCGAAGCTCAAGGGTTTTCACGTGCCGGGCCCTGGGAGACACGGTTTCGACACTGCTTCGACACCCTTTTGACACTTCTCTGGGTGCTCGAAATTATTGCCGGGATGCGGCCCTGAAGCAGGACGGGAGCAACACCGTAGCCCGAGGCCGACGGGTGCCATCCAGAGGTCTCCACGGGCGGCGGCCCTGTGCCCCCGGGGGGCGCGCGCGTGCGGGACGCCCCCCGCCCGGGGCGGCAGCGCGTCCCGCCTGCGCGGCAGCTGTGCGTGCGGGGCGCTCCAGGGCGCAGGGCTCGCAGCGAGGAGGCGACGTGTGCAGAGGCTCGCGTCGCGAAGGGGTGCTCGCGTCGTGAAGAGATCAGGGCGTTTTTTTTCTGAGTTTTCGGCCTCTGGGAGCGCTCGCCGGGCCCCGTGGCCGTCAAGCAACGACTCGAAAGGAAAAGCTGGTCCCCTGGACAAGGTCGGAACTTTTTGGGGGGACCGGGCACAGGGGAGACCCAGGCCAAGAAACACCCCGCTTGCCTCCAGGGTGTCCTGGGTTTCTCGGGCGTCGATGCTTTTGCAAGGGGACGGCGTGACGTTCCCACACCAAAAGTCGCTGGACGCCCTGGGGTCTCAGGGTTGGGTTTCTTGTGGAAGGCTTCTTGTATTGCAGGCTGCGGAAGGAGGCTGCACGAGGCTGCGCGCAGCAGGGCGTTGGTGCAAGTGTGGAAGACTTGACGCAGGAGCTTGCGCACTGGCGTGGGCTCAGTGCGAGCGATGGGGCAAATACAGAGCCTGTGTCTGTCGAGCTCCCGTGTGCACGTCGACCCTTGCTCCCGAATGGCACTCTGACCAGCTGTTAGCTCCCTCTTTGGGGGGCAGCCGATTTTCCAAAGGTCTGCGCAGGGTTTCCTCAACTTTGCGTTCTTCGAGGTCGTGCCGTTGTGGACCATCTCGTCCGAGCCCCTCGGAGGGTTTGCCATGTCAGGGATCGAGCTGGGCAACATTCTGGCATTATCGTCGGTCTTGTCCGCGGGGTTCATCCTGGGGGCGACTTGCTGCGACGAGTACCCCTGGGGGGGCGGGTGCCGTGCGCGTCCTTGGGGCCCGGCGGGGTCCGCGTGCCCCGAGTGGCGGTCTTACGGAGGGCGAGCCGTTCACGACTGGCTTGGAAGGACTTCTCCGGCACGCGACACTCGGGGGTGGACAGACCTCCTACCCTGACACGTCGATTAAGGAATTGGCCGTTTTCGGTTCGCGAGAGGGCGTCGCGGCCGTCATTTTTGCGGGTCCAGGTCCGTCGGTTTCGGTCCCAGGCAGTTTTCACTAAAGGGAGGTTTACTAAAGGGAGGTTTGTCCACCGCCGAGACATACGAGAGTGATCGGGCCGTTTTGTGAGCCGCTGATTTCCCTGATTCCAGGGCCGCTCAGTGGCCATTTCGGTGGAATGCCGTGCCCAGGTGAGGCTCAGAAAGGTCCCCGCCGGCGCCTTTTCGGCAACGGCAGAGTTCTTCGGCTTCGGAGTCTGAGTCAGGGGGGTCTTTGGTATAATGGTTTCGCCATGATAATCGGCCTCGAAGCTTTGAAGGCTGAACCCGTCTAATCGAATTGGGGCCGAATTGGTGTGGAGCGTTTCGCAGAGCATCCCCGCTGCCACACCTAGTGGTAGCTAAAAAAGCTAGAGACGCAGTGACCCCGAGAACTCGGCGTTTCGATGCCATGGCCTAGCGTCGTACTGGAGGGTAAGGTGGTATGAATCCTGGTCCTCCCCCTCGGCGCAGTCATGGCCGAAAGTGAACTAGATCCTGGTCTTCCTCCCTCCTCCGTCCTACCCCCCTCCCCTCCTTCCTCCACACTCCTGCCCTCCCCCTTCTTCCTCCCTCATCCGTCCTCCTCCTGCATCCTCCGCCTGGCCATAATCAGTCGGCGATGTGAGAAGCGGAACGCAGTGCGACATGATGGCATTACCACGCCAGCTTGTGCAGACATGTGTGTTCATCAGGTCATGTGTCCTTGCATGGACGGTTGCCGTCATGTATAGCTGGCATGTGTTTTGCCACATGCATGCGCACCGCTCTTATCGGCACAGCGGTTCCATTGTAGCTATCCCACTCTCACACATGTGTAAGCATACACACGTACACACATACATACATACATACATACATACAGACAGACAGACAGACAGACAGACAGACAGACAGACAGACAGACAGACAGACGTACATACATACATACATACATACAGACAGAAAGACAGACATACAGGCACACAGACAGACATACAGACAGACTTCCGTTCCTACATACATACATACATACATACATACATACATGCATGCATGCATGCATACATACATACATACATACACATACACATATACATACACATACACATACACATACACATACACATACACATACACATACACATACACATACACATACATACATGCATACATGCATACATGCATGCATGCATACACACATGCGCACATACACACATACACACATACACACATACACACATACACACATACACATACGTACATACATACATGCATACATACACACATACAGACAGACAGACAGACAGACAGACAGACAGGCAGACAGACAGACATGCATACATACATACCAATGCACGTACGTACGTACATGCATACATGCATGCACGCATTCATACATACATGCATACATACATACATACATACATGCATACATACATACACACATACAAACATACGTACATACATACATACATACATACATACATACATACATACATGCATATACAAATACATACATACATGCATGCATGCATGCATGCATGCATGCATACATACATACATACATACATACATACATACATGCATACATCCACACATACATACATACATACATGCATACATGCAGGCCTGCATACATACATACATACATACATACATACATACATACATACATACATGCATGCATGCATACATACATGCATGCATACATACATACATACATACATACATACATGCATGCGTGCATGCATGCATACACACATACATACATACATCTATACATACGTATGTATATACATGTATCTATATCTATACCCGCGCACGAGGCCCGCGCGCCCGGGGCCGCGACCTCGGGGGGCATGGCGTGACTGGGGCCTCCCAGACCGCTCCCAGAGCACCCCGGAGGGGCCGTGGAGCCCCCAGACTGCCCCAGAGGGCTCCAAGACCTCATTCCGCTGGCCCACGCGGCCTCATCTCTGCCGTTTGGCCGAGGGATCGTTGTCAATGCGGCGCTGCTGGGGTCTCTTGGCAGGCGTTTCGGCAGGTTCTTGGAGGCAGTTTTGGAGCCTCTTGAGGTCTCTTGGGGGCCGTTTGGGGGTCCTGGGGGCCTCTTCTTGGGCAACTTTGGGGCCTCTTGGGGACCTATTGGGGACCTCTTGGGGCTCTCTTGAGGCCTCTTGGGGACCTCTTGGAGCCTCTCTTGGGGCCTCCTGGGCTTTTCTTGGGGCCGAGGGCTCGAAATGACCATTCGGGTTCCGCGTATGGGACCCCCCTGTGGACCGTCCTGGGGCCATCTTGGGCCGGCCGTCTTGGAGGCATCTTGGGCCGCCTTGGGGCCCTCGAGGGTCGTCCTGGGGCCCTCTTGGAGGCCTGTTGGGCTGTCTTGGGGCGACATGTGGAGCCTCTGGGGCCGTCTTGGAGCATCGGGGCGCCGAACAGGTGAGAACACCACAATCCGTAAAAAACCTTAGGGAAATCGATTATGTTTGCTTCCTGGGGCCCTCTTGAGACGCTTCTTGGAGGCCTCTGCGGGCGTCGTGGAGGCGTCATGCGGCCATGTGGAGGCCATCTTGGGCGTCTTGGATTGATCGAGAAGCGACTCGGAGACATCTCGAGGACATCTTGAAGCCCTCTTGGAGCGCTCTGGGGCGCCTGAAAGCCGCGCCCAGGCGGAAGACCATCTCTGACGGGACTGTCCTGGAGTACTTTCCGCCCGGGGACCCCCAGGGGCCGCCCCGCGCGCGCGAAGTAGAAATATTGTTTACCAGTTACCGGAGATCTTAGCACGCCTCTGGCCCGTTTGGCCGGCGAATTTGAATGGATATGCACACCTATATGTATATGTAATTCCCCAAACAGCTTGCTGAACGGGGTGCTGTTGTGATAGAAACTAACTCCGGCCGAGGGAACGCGGAGCAGAGACATCCTCACAACAAATTCATGGTTTTGGCCGTTTCGCTTGAGACATCCTCACAACTCTCGTTTCTGAGTTGGCCGGGATTGGCCGTTTCGCCTGAGACATCCTCGAAAAGTTGCGCTCCGGGACGCCGCGCGAGAGGTGGTCTGGGCCGTTTCGCTTGAGACATCCTCGAAACTCTGAGCCCCGAGGTGCCGTGCGAGAGGTGGTCCGGGCCGTTTCGCCTGAGACATCCTCGAAACTCTTAGCTCTGCGATGCCTTGCGCGAGATGGTCCGGCCCGTTTCGCTTGAGACATCCTCGAAACTCTGACTTCGGAGATGCCGCGCGAGAGGTGGTCCGGCCCGTTTCGCTTGAGACATCCTCGAACTTCTGAGCTCTGAGATGCCCTGCGCGAGGTGGTCCGGCCCGTCTCGCCTGAGACATCCTCGCAACTCTGAGCTCTGAGATGCCGTGCGCAAGGTGGTCCGGCCTGTTTCGCACAAGCCATTCTCGCAACTCTGAGCTCTCAGATGCTGCGCAGGAGGTGGTCCAGCCTGGGAGCCCAGAAGACCACATGTTACATATCCTCCATGGGACCCTGGGAGCCCGCCTGAGACATCCTCGAACTTCTGAGCTCTGAGATGCCGTGCGCAAGGTGGTCCGGCCTGTTTTGCACAAGACATTCTCGCAACTTTGAGCTCCCAGATGCCGCGCAAGAGGTGGTCCAGCCTGGGGGCCCAGAAGACCACATGCTACATGTCCTCCCTGGGAGCCCCAGGAAGCCCCAGAGAGCTTCAGGAGGCCGCAGGACGCCCAGGACAGGCCCCAGGGGTCCCCAGGAGATTCCCAGGAGGTCCGGCCCGTTTCGCCTGAGACTTCCTCGCAGCACGTTTCGCCCGAGACATCGTCACAACTCTGGGGTCCGAAATGCCGCGCGCGAGGTGGTCCAGCCCGTCACGCTGGAGACATCCTCGCAACTCTGGGCTCCGAGATGCCCTGCGCGAGGTGGTCCGGCCCATCTCGCCTGAGACATCCTCGCAACTCTGAGCTCTGAGATGCCGTGCGCAAGGTGGTCCGGCCCGTTTCGCACAAGACATTCTCGCATCTCTGAGCTCTCAGATGCTGCGCAAGAGGTGGTCCAGCTTGGGGGCCCAGAAGACCACATGTGGCTCCCAGGAGGCCCCAGAGAGCTTCAGGAGGCCGCAGGACGCCCAGGACAGGCCCCAGGGGTCCCCAGGAGATTCCCAGGAGGCTCCCAGGAGGCCCCAGGAGGCTCCCTATCAGCACGTGTCAAGTTAATCCACATCCGGTGTCGATTCGTTGATTTTTCCTGCTCTTGTGGACCCCCCCGATTTTGGGGGGCCCCGACGGCCACATGTTTGATATCCCCCCTGGGAGCCCCAAGAGGCTTCAGGAAACCCCAGGTGGAGTTCAGGAGGCCACAGGAGGCCCAGGAGGAAGCCCCAGAGGGTCACCAGGAGGTCCCAGGAGGCCCCAGGAGGCCCCCGCAACTGAGATGCCGCGCTCGAGGTGGTCCGGCCCGTTTCGCCTGAGACTTCCTCGCAGCACGTTTCGCCCGAGACATCGTCGCAACTCTGGGGTCCGACATGCCGCGCTCGAGGTGGTCCAGCCCGTTACGCTGGAGACATCCTCGCAACTTTGGGCTCCGAGATGCCGTTCGGGATGACGAGGAGGAGGAGGAGGAGGAGGAGGAGGAGGAGGAGGAGGAGGAGGAAGAGGAGGAGGAGGAGGAGGAGGAGGAGGAGGAGGCATGTTTTAACATGCCATGCCAGCCCGCACTGGACGGGCACGCAATCGACCTTGGAAACCGCAGTGGGTCTAAAAACCCTGTTTGGGGATACTGCACTCCGGCTATAATATACATATATATACACATGTGTTTGAAATGTTGTTGCGAACCTCAGGATCTGAACACCTACTTGTAGAATTTCCGTTCGAATTGTTTACCTATCCAACCACGGGGCAATCACGGGACAACTACGGGACGACCGGACGGGACAATTGCGGGACGACCACGGGGCAAGCGCACGAGACAACCACCGCAGAATGATGCGACCACCGTGGGCCAACGCCCACACTCACGTGCCGTGGACGGGCGAAGCACTCTGACGTGGCATGCCCCTGGCCGGGGAAGGCTCGCTCTCGTTCGGCTTCGCTTCGCCCGAAGGCAGGGTACGGACCGAGACTGCTTTCCCAGTGGTCGGCTCCTCGTTGCACTCCAATATCACCACGGCCTTCGCTTCTTGTCATGCGTGCACACACTTCGAACGCAGAAGTCGATGTGGCGGTACTCTTTCATACATATATAGATATATGCATGTGTTTGCGTAAGTAAACAGAGGTGTTAGCACATATACGGATACGTATCGACATATTGTGATAAGCCAGGTCGTCATGTACACGTGGGATACGCAATAGTGATTGTGTACCCGATGCGATCCCAACGGGAACACAAGATGTGCCAAGCCTCTTTAACCTCATCGTCAATCGCAGGGTGGCCTCAGACGTATACGGTCTGCACGCCACGGGATTCCTGCTCAAGGAGGCTCTCTATCTCCCCATGAGCTCTAACCCCACCCTCGCCCAAGTCGCCCCCAGCCGTGCTGTTCTTCATGAGCCCCATCGTCAAGCTCTTTGGCCTCTGGCGATGCCTGGTGGCCGGCCACCTCTGCCTGGCCCTCTGCTTCAGCGCTCTCCCGCTCTGTCCGAATCCGGCTTCTCTCGTCCTCCTCCATAGCTTCACCAACGGCATGTATGGACTGGTCGGTGCCTCACTGGTTGCGGCCCTGAACAACGCGGCCCCCTGCGACAGGAGGGCCACGGTCAATGGCGTGGTCGTGACGTTCGAGTCTATTGGGAAAGGCCTTGGCCCAGCGCTGACCTCCGTCGCCTTCGCCGAGGCGCTCTCCAGGTGGGGCTGGGCGGGTCACTACATCGTTTTCTACAGCATCGGGGGCGCCCATGCCTTTCTCTCCCTGGGTGCCTTCTTCATGCCCGGGAACATCGAAGGCCCTCAGGGTCGTGGAGGACGACGACGGGGGGGGAGACGCATGAGTAGGAGCAGCAGCAGCAGCAAAATCATGAGGCGAGGTGCGCGATTACTCCATGTCAGGGATCATCGAAGGCTCTGTCTGAAGGCCCTGGGAGCCTGGGAACAGTCGAGCAGAACCTGTGGGACTGGCCCAGGGATCGGGAGGGCCCGCACGGGCCCTGTTGCCCAGGGGTCCCTCGAGCGCCCAGATGCACCCGAAAGGCTCAGAGCTAGCAGCTGCAGGCTTGGGATACTGCTCTGCGCCTCGCGAGAAATATCCAGCCAGTCTTGCATGACGTGTATCCCGCTATGCAGATAACATCCGGATTTGGGATGTAGTAGGATGATGTTCGGCATACCGTGCTGTAGCGTTGCTTCTGCGATGTGGGACCAGCATCGCCGCATGATGCGTGAATCTAATCATGGGTCGTGTGCGCATGTATGCTTGTGGGGCCCTTTCTTGCCTCTGTCCTCTCCGCAGCCCTTGGCCCCGTAGAATCGGCCAGCCCACCCGCTAACTACAATTGTGTTTCACTTCTCCGTTTTGCCGAGGGATGTGTGCCGGGAATGCTAGGCAGTTGTTCGTGCAACAGTGTTACATACGAGATCTTACACAATCGCATGTAGAGTTGAGACGAAAATGTTCGGTCCCCGTCGCCTCCCGTCAAATCCGACGCTGCAAAAAGATGCAACTCTGCTTCGAATCCATCTCTCTGCGCCAGGGAGGAGGAAGGAGGGAGGGAGGAGGGAGGGGAGGAGGAGGGAGGAAAGAGGGGGGAGTGAGGGGGGGAGGGGGGGGGAAATAGAGAAGGAGGAGGAGGTGGAGGAGAAGGAGGAGGAGGACCAGTGTAAGCCTAAGAGGCATCAACGATGTTGAAATACACCCTCCCTTCAAGCTC